GTAGTTTCGAACCGCTGACCTTAAGGTTCGCAGCCCGATTCGTAACCACTACGCTACCAGAGCTCCTGCATAGGACAGAGTAAAAATGTCCCATATTGTTTCAGAAACTGTAAGCATTTATGGAAGTAGACTTCCTTATCTTTCTCCCTCAGAGCATCTGGTTCTGCTGACCTTCTGGTTAACAGCTCAACACTTAACCCACTGACCAATGGTACATTTTTTACTTAATCAGCATTCTGTTTCCTTTCAGGGATGAATAAACCCAGTTCTCTAAAGAAGAAGAACCTTCAAAGGCTTCCATTAGTAAGTAGAACCCAAGCTCCACTTAGTACTTTGTCACCTGGTGATCGGCCATCTGACTTGGATTCTTGCTCGTTTGTGATTGACTGTGACACACAAGAGTCCTCTGGTTCTCCTATATTCGACTTGTGTGATGAGCCATCACTTCTGTCTTTTAGCTGTGAGTCTGAGGACCAAAGTAAAACTTTTTTCTTTGAAGAATCTGGGGAAGAGACCCCAGAGAGTCTTACATTTCTCAATAATATTTCTACCCAAAGCAAGTGGCTGAAATATCAGAACACACCCCAGTGCGACTTGACTCCTCCAAACAAAGTTGATGAAGTGGGAGAGAGCTACTTTGCTGAGGCTGCTTCTGGGATGCATTTTAGAGACACAGGTGAAAGGCAGAGTGGAGCTATGAATGAAAGCTCTTTAAGCTCTGTACATTTGCAAATGATAAAAGGCATGCTCTATCAACAGCAGCAGGATTTTAGCAGTCAAGATTTGATTTCCAGAAAGAGTGCATTTTCTCTGAACTTAGAGCAGAGTTCCAAGACTGAAGAAATGCAGAATGTGTTAGGAGAGTATGTCTGCTACAACTACAGTCTAACAGGAGACACACAGGTGAGGAAATGTACCAGTGTCTGTTGGTACATTTTTCTAGTAGTAATTGTCTGAATTTCAACAGAAGAATTATCAAAATCATATACCAAAAACTCTTGGAACAGATGCCTTTTTTTTTAATCCGGAAGAACTTAGTTATGATCATATCATTTCCTTTGACTTAAAGTCTTTCTGATGGTTATGAGCAGTAAATGAAATTATATATTAGGAAGTATCTGGTACTGTGTCTAGCACATTGAAAAATACTTATTACTTTAAATCTTAATGTATTATAAGTATTTATTAGTGTGCACTTAATAAATTAAACCTCCTGTGTCGGTTTCCACCAGTACTTCTGCACTGTCAGCCAATCAGATAATTGCTAGGGTAAAAGGACATCTTACTACATTTTTAGGGCAATCCTTATTATAGTCATAATCAGAAATAGAGAAACATAGTGATCCATTCACATCATTTAAATTTTTCATAGCAAAAAGTAAAGGGAAGACTAAGAAAGGATAGTTTCATATAGGATTAAATGTGTTAATGCATAGTCATTCTTGCCATACTTGGTTTCTCATTTGAAATTAAAAGATGCTTTTCAACGATTCCAAAAATTCAAAAGAAAAGTCAGTATATTTTATTAAACATGGCCATATAAAATAATTTACTTCTTAGTAAACAGTGTTTTTCTGGAGTTGTTATAATTACTTGAGTTATTTCTTTTCAGGAGATAAATGCCTCTGAGCTATCATTCCCAAGTGGACAGAGAATAAAATCTGATTATCTTCCCCAAAGGCAAATTCACATACCAGCTGTTTTTCAGTCACCTGCTCATTATAAGCAGATATTTACATCTTGCCTCATAGGTATGATTGTTATCTTTTTAGTTTGATTGATTACTGCCTGGTGTAAGGTAATATATTGCAGTTGGGACTTACTATTTTTCATATGTTTACTCCAGTTTTTGATAATAACACTTATTCTAATCTCAAATCATACTTGATTTTTTTTTAAAAGTTGGAAATGACAGTATTATCTTTTTAAAGTTAGAATTGGTTTCCTTTTTTTAGAGAAGAGACCAAGTGTTACACTTTAAATGGCTGTTCACAAACTTCTAAGATGCTTTATTATTTTTTTAAACTGTAAGTGTTTGTTAAAAATGGATATGTTAATTGGAAATTTTAAAATATTTTAAATGATTGTTTCATTTCATTTTTCATTAGGTAAAATGCATGTAGCATAGCTATTTTAAAGTGGTATTTAGTGGTATTGTGGTGCTGTAGGATAAGCACTGGACTGCTAACTGCAAAGTAACTGCAAGGTTGGTGGTTCAGATCTCCACCAGCCTCTTCTCAGAAACCATATACTGGGTCACTGTGAGTTGTAACCAACTTCACTGCACTGCACTTAACAACAACAATAACAATCTAATTATTGGAGTCTTGGTGTGGCGCTGTGGGTTAATTGGCCAGATTGCAAAGCTGTTTGAATTGCGAGGTTGGTGGTTCAAGCTCACCAGCTGCTTCTCAGAAACCCTATACAGGGTCGCTATGGGTTGGAACTGACTCGATGGCACTTAACAACAACAACAAAGCACATTTATACTGTTATGCAACCACCACTTCTATGTACACATTGAGGATAGTTCGAAGCATTTTCATTATTCTAGTTTCCTAGGGCTGCCATAACAAAACACAAATGGATGACTTTAAAGAACAGAAATTGTTTTCTCACAGTTCTGGATGCTAGAAGCCCAAGTAAAGAGTATTGGCCATGTTGTTTTCTTCTGCGTGCTTTGAGAGCGGTAACTGTTCCATGACTCTGTCCTGGTTTCTGGTGGCTGCTAGCAATCCATGGCGTTGCTGTGCTGATTGCATTTGCCTCTATTATCACATGGCATCTTCCCCTTGTGTGTGTGACTCCCTCATCATGTTGGTTCTCCCCTTTTATCAGATCTCTCTCAGAGACAATTAGGACTAGGATGACTAGAATCTGTCCTACTCCAGTATGACTTAACTGGCAATTTCTTCAAAGAAAATTCTATTTCCCCAAGCAAGTTATATTTACACGTATAGGAATTAAAACTATTAAGAAATCTTTTATGGGAACACAATTCAATTAATAGTTAAGCCCATTAACCCCACTGCCATGTAGTATGTTCTGACTATATAGGACAGAGTAAAACTGCCCCATAGGGTTTCCAAAGCTGTAATTGTTATAGAAGCAGTCTGCCATGTATTTTCCCTGTGGAGTGGCTGGTCGGTTCGAAACACTGACATTTCCGTTAGCTGCTGAGTGTTTAACCACTACACCACCAGAGAACACATCTTTTTATGGGACACAATTGAATTCATAACAAAACCTGTGATCTTTAAGCAGTCAGTTTCCGTTCTTCTTCCGCCAGCATTTGTATGATTAGTTTTGATTGCTTGTTTTGCTGTACAAAGGCAAAATTTGCCTTTCAAAAAGGGAATATTAGAATAATGTTAACATATTTAGTTGTTAAAAGTCTGTTTTCACATTTAGTTCATAAACAGCACATGTGTGATACAAGCATGAAGTTTGTATTTAATCACTTTTTTTTTTTGTAGAACACCTAAATATATTGTTGTTTGTGTTGTCACAAAGACTGTACAAAGCTCTTTCAAAAGTTGATATGTCATTTTACACATCTTCCAAAGAAGAGAAACAAAAAAATGTAGAAAATAATGTACCATACTGCCATCATCGTCAACCTGCAAAACTTGTCATGGTTAAGAAAGAAGGCCCAAATAAGGTATTGTTCCATATTCCTTCCCTCTGCCCCACCAAGTGCTTATAAAACGTTTAAGTGCCTGTTGCCTATGACAAACTTATAAGAATGAGTCTAATTTTTTTAAAAAAGTAGTATTTTATAATGTCTTAGTTGAAAGTTTACTCAACAAGTTAGGTAACAATTCTTATACAGCTTGTTCCATGGCACAGGTTATAATTTTCATAGCATGTCAACATTCTTTTTATCTCCATTCTGTTTCCTTCTACTGATCTAACTTCCTAAATAGTAAATCTTAATTCCTAGTCATCTTTTTGAGGCATTGCTGTTGTTGTTAAGTGCCATTGAGTCAGTTCCAACTCGTAGCAACCTTGTATAGGGTTTCCAAGGAGCTGCTGGTGAATTTGAACTGCTGACGTTGTGGTTCAAACCAACCTTGCAGTCCAGGTCATTAACCCACAGCACCACACCAGGACCTAACATATAGCAATCTCTGATTACAATTTTATTAAGAGTGAAGGATATGTTCTAGGATGTAAGAGTAAGAGTTAAGATTATCTTTCAATGTGATACATACAAACAGCAAGAAAAACGAAGTCCTGATACATGCTAAAATATGGATGGAGCCTAAGGACATCATGCTGAGTGAAAGAAGTCATTATGCAAGTACAAATATTGTATGACTTATATAAAAAGACAAAAATAAGCATAGTTTATTGCTAAAGCAATTGAAAGGAATGAGCAGGTAAAAGAGCTGAATAGAAAATTATAAAGGGCAGCTCGTGAAGACAAAGTAAATTCTTATAATAGAATATGCAAAGACTTGGAATTAGAAAACCAAAAAGGAAGATCACTCTCAAGCCGAGGAAACTGAAGTAAAATTCAAGCCTTGACCTGCAATATTGAAGGATTCTATAGGCAAAATATTGAATGATATAGAAAGCATCAAAATAAGATGGAAAGAATACAGAATCACTGTACCAAAAAGAAATGGTTGATGTTCAACCAATTCAAGAGGTAGTATATGATCAAAAACAGATGATACTGAAGGAAGAATTCCAAGGTGCACTGAAGGTATTGGCAAAGAACAAGACACTGGGAATTGATGGAATACAAATTGAAATCTTTCAACAAACTGATGCAGCATTAGAGGCACTCACTCTTCTATACCACAAAATTTGGAAGACAGCTACCTAGCCAACTGATTGGAAGAGATCCATATTTGTGCTATTCCAAAAGGTAACTCAATGGAAATCATCAGACAATATCATCAATATTTCATGCAACTAAAATTTTGCTAAAGATAATTTTTAAAAATGGCTGCAACACTACATTGACAGAGAATTGCCAGAGGTTCAAGCCAGATTCAGAAGAGGATGTGGAACTAGGAATTATCACTGCTGACATCAGAGAATCTTGGCTGAAAGTAGAGACTACTAGAAAGATGTTTGGTGTTGTTAAGTGTCGTCGAGTTGGTTCTAACCCATAGCAACCCTGTATAGGTTTTCCAAGCAGTGGCTGGTGAGTTTGAATCACCAAACTTGCACTTCAAACTGACCTTGCAGTTTGAACTGCAAGGGCTTGTCTTACAGCACCGCATCACCTGTGCTTTAATTGACTGCGCAAAGGCTTTCAATTGTGTGGATCATGACAAGCTATGGATAGCATTGTGGAGAATGAGCATTCTAGAACACTTACTTGTGCTCATTAGGAACCTGTGCATAGACTAGAACAAGGGAACATTGAATGGTTTAAAGTTAGGAAAGGTGTGCACCATACTTATTCACAGTGTAGCACCATACTTATTTACACTGTATGCTGAGCAAATAATTCAAGAAACTGGTTTATATGAAGAAGAACATGGCATTAGGATTGGAAGAAGACTCATTAACAACTTGCGATATTCAAATAATACAACCTTGCATGCTGAAAGGAAAAAAAGACTTAAAATACTTATTGGTGAATATCAAAGATCACAGGCTTTGGTATGGTTGCACCTCAATGGAAAGAAAACAAAATTCCTTACCACTAGACCAATAAATTGTATCAGGATAAATGCAGAAAAGATTGAAGTTGTCAAAGACTTCATTTTTCTCAGATCAACCATGAACACTTATGGAAGCAACAGTCAAGAAATTAAATGACATTTTGCATTAGGCAAATCTGCTGCTCAAGACCTCTTTAAAGTGTTCAGAAGGAAAGATACCACTTTGAAGACCCAAGCCATGGTATTTTCAATAATCTCTTATGCATTGTGAAAGTTAAACAATGAATAAAGACCATAGAAGAATTGATGTAATGATTTTTGAGAAGAATATTAAAAGTATCATAGACTGCTAAAATAACAAACAATAAATGTGTTGGAAGAAGTACAGCCAGTATGCTCCTTAGAAGCCAGGATGGCCAGACTTTATCTCTCATACTCATGCTTGCAATCAACCATCCAAGGGTACAGCATCTGGAGAAATAAAGGAAGGAGATTCAGGAATAGAATTAGGAAAATGGAACAACTGTTTCATTTGCTATGAGATCACAAGAATTGGATGGTGCCTGGCCACTATTACTGACATTTTTTATTGAAGATTCTATTGCATAATTCTAATTAAAAGGAGAAAAATACAGAACAGGATTCCAAATGGAATCTAGATTTTCTGAAGCCATTGAGGGTAGACCTCTGAAACTATTATCTTGATATAATCTTTGAACCTGAAGGCAGAAATAAAAAATATTCCTTGAATCTTTCTATAAACCAAGCAACAGTCAAAATTAGTAAAGAATGTCTACTGTAAACATTTAAAGAACTATGTATATTGGATCAAATTAATAACAGCAAATAAAAAGGTTAGCTTAGGGAGAAGTGAGTTTATGTTAATGTTGTTGTTAGGTGCCATCGAGTTGATACCAACTCATAGCGACCCTATGCATAACAGAACGAAACACTACCGGGTCCTGGGCCAACCTCACAATTGTTGCCATGCTTGAGCCCATTAATGTTGCCATTTTGCCAGTCCTTCTCACTAGGGGTCTTCCTCTTTTTATCCGACCCTCCACCTTACCAAACATGATAACCTTCTCCACTGGTCCCTCTTGACAATATGTCCGAAGTATGAGAGATAAAGTTTGGACATCCTGGCCTCCAAGGAACACTCTGGCTGCACTTCTTCCAACACAGATCTGTTTTTTCTTTTGGCAGCCCATGGCACTTTCAATATTCCCCTCCAATTACATAACTCAAAAGCATCAATTCTACGGTCTTCCTTATTCACTGTCCAGCTTTCGCTGTATATGAGGTTATTGAAAATAGCATGGCTCGGGTCAGGCGCACCTTATTCCTCAAGCTGACATTTTTGCTCTTCAACACTTTAAAAAGGTCTTGTGCAGCAGATTTGCTTAATGCAGTACATCATTTGATTTCTTGACTGCTGCTTCCATGAGTGCTGACAGTTGATCCAAGCAGAATTAAGTCCTTGACAACTTCAATCTTTTTGTCATTGATAAGAATGCTGTTTATTGGTCCAGTGATGAGGATTTTTGTTTTGTTTACATTGAGATGCAATCCCATACCAAAGGCTGTGGTCTGTGATATTCATCAGTAAGTATTTTAAGTCCTCTTCACTTTCGGCAAGCAAGGTTGTATCCTCTGCATATCACAGGTTGTTAATGAGTCTTCCTCCAATCCTGATGCCACGTTTTTCTTCATAGAACCCAGCTTCTTGGATTATTTGCTCAGCATACAGGTTGAATAAGTATGGTGAAAGAATACAACCCTGTCACATACCTTTCCCAATTTTAAACGATTCAGTGTTCCCATGTTCTGTTCGAATAACTGCCTCTTGGTTCAGGTACAGATTCCTCATGAACACAATTAAGTGTTCTGGAACACTCATACTTCTCAATGTTGTGACTAGCTTGTCATGATCCACACCATCAAAAGCCTTTGTGTAGTCAATAAAGCACAGGTAAGCATCTTTCTGGTATTCTCTGATTTCAGCCAAGATCCATAGGACATCAACAGTGATGTCCCTCATTCTGTATCCTTTGTGAATTCAGCTTGAACCTCTGGAAGTTTTCTGTCAATGTATGCTTGCAGCCATTTCTGTATTACCTTTAGTAAAACTTTACTTGGCATGGGATATCAAAGAGATTCTCTGATCATTTCTGCATTCCATTGGGTCACCTCTCTTTTAAATGGGCACAAATACAGATCTCTTCTAATCAGTTGGCCAGATAGTTGTCTTCCAAATTTCTTGGCGTAGATGAATGAGTGCCTCTAGTGCTGCCTCATTTTCTTAAAAGATTTCAATGTTATTCCATCAATTCCTGGAGCCTTGTTCTTTGCCAATTCCTTCAATGCACCTTGGACTTCTTCCTTCAGTATCATTGCCTCTTGATCTTATGCTACCTCTTGAAACGGTTGAACATCAACCATTTCCTTTTGGTACAGTGACTGTGTTTATTCCTACTATCTTCTTTTGAAGCTTTCTGCATCCTTCAATAATTTGCCCAGAGAATCCTTCAATTCTGTAAGTCAAGGCTTGGATATTTTCTTCAGTTCCCCTAGCTTGAGAAATGCTGAGCATGTTTTTCTCTTTTGGTTTTCTGACTCCAGATCTTTGCATATTTCGTTGTAATATTTGACTTTGTCTTCTCGAGCTGACCTTTGAAATTTTCTGTTCAGCTATTGTACCTCCTCGTTTCTTCCATTTTCTTTAGCACTCTACACTGGAGAGCAAGTTTCAGTGTCTCTTCTGATATCCATTATGATCTTTTCCTTCTTTCTTGTCTACTTAATGACTTTTTGCTTTGTTAATAGGTGGGACCAAATTGGAAAGAAGGGTGAGAATGGCTGCATGCACAATTTAAAGAATATAATCAATGTCACTGAATTGTACTTACAGAAATTGTTGAATTGCTTTATATTTTGCTGTATATATTTTTAACAACAATAAAAACAAAACGATCCACCTTTAAGTTGCTTAGAAATTTACTAAATACTACTGTTGGAGACAGATACATAACAAAATTAAATATAATGCCGTCAGTCCCTGGGTTATGAAAATGATGTCTTTTTAAGTGTATCTTTAAGTCGAATTTGTCGATAAGTGGATACAAGCACATATTGTTCTTACTTAGCCTTGAATTCTTGAAAAGCTTTGAAGCCTTTTCAATGATTTTAAAGTTGCATGTATAGTAAGTAAAGATGATTGCAATGAAGAATTTGTGAGAAGAGTTTGGTTTATATGTTTTAAAGTGAGGGGAAATTTACGTAACATCAAAAGACAAACATAAGAATTGTTAAGTGCCATTGAGTCGATTCTGACTCATAGTGACCCTGTATAGGGTTTCTGAGGACCTTGCTCTTCAAACCGACTTTTCAGTCTAGTGCTTTATCCCACAGCACCACACGAGGACTCTAAATATAAGACTATATAAGTCATATATTCATAATTCTGGGACTGCATGCAGTATAATTGATAAGATAGAAAGTGAAAGCTGTAACTTGTGTACTTTTGTACACAGGCAAGTTACAGATAAGGCTAAAGGAATAGAAAAGCATAGTGATTTAATTTATGTTGCTGATAACATACTGTGAAAAAAGTAAGATTAGTAAAATGTTCGTATGTTAGTCAATGGCTTATAGTCATTTCAATTTGGTGTGACTGTAGGATCAGTATTAGACTACTAACCACAAGACTGGTGGTTCAAAAAACTCACTAGCTGCTCTTCAGAAACTCTATATAGGGTCACTATAGACTTGACAGCACTTAGTAATAGTAGCAACTTCTTACATCATTCATCATTACTTGAGTGTGTAAGTTTAGATTTAAATTTGCCAAAGCAAGAATTTATAAATTGTTTATAACCATAGAATAAAATATTATATAGCTGCCAAAAAGCTTCTTTTTTCCCCCTCTCTTTTAATAAATGATTTGATAGCTTGATTGTATCACACAGTATGTTGGGTATAATGGTTACAGAGTAGTAAATTCTAATATCTGAGTTTTGTTCAAATAAAGAAAAGATAATACACATGTGTATTATGTCTCTCATTTGTGTGTGTGTTTATGTGTGTACTTTTGTGAGAAAAAAGACTGGAAACAAATCCCTAGGATATTACTTAGCTGTTTCTGAGTAGGTATTGGGTAGTCTGGCACTGAGGGTTAATGCACTGGACTGCAAGGTTGGCTTGAACCTTAAGGTCACAAGGTTGGCTTGAACCTTAAGGTAACAGCTCACCAGCTGTTTCTTGGAGACTTTACAGAGAACTTTACAGAGTTCGAATTAACTCGATGGCACTTAAAAACAGCAACAATGTAGTGAAGCGTTGTAATCAGAAGAGTAATGCGTTTTCTTTTGCAAATAAGCTTTTATTTTAGGCGAGTAAACAGTGACTTTAAATTTTAATAGACTTTTTAAGTTAATTATAAAAGTACATTGTATGGTATTACATAAATGCCAAGAAATACTTATACAATTCTTGAAAGATGTAATAGAAAATAATAGAAAAATGAAAATGTTTTTCTCAATAAATTTTAGTATATATGTATATTTTTTTTTTCCTGTTAGGGTCGTCTCTTTTATACATGTGATGGACCCAAAACGGACCAATGTAAATTTTTTAAGTGGCTTGAAGAAGTGTCTTCAGGAATAACACAGGCAGAATCTCGACCCAGTATGGTTCTACGTGATATAAAGAGCATTGGTTTGTATTTAAGAAGTCAAAAGATACCAGTCTATGAGGAATGTCAGCTTTTGGTGAGGTATGTTTTATGTACCAAATAATTTCCTATGATTAGATCAGAGCCCTGATGTTGTACTGTAGGATAAGCACAGGACTGGTACATACAAGGTCTGCAGTTCAAATCCTCCAGTTGTTCTTGGGAACCCTGTGTAGGGTCATAATGAGTCAACCATCTCTACAATAAACAACAAAAACAAATAAGTGTAGGCCTAATCTTAGTGCAGTTCTCCTAAGACCCTGTCATGATCCTACACAGGACTATGTAAATCAACTTTTTTTGTCTTGCTCTCGACATCAAGCAGTATCAGCAATATTTGAATAACTAGCAAGAGTGCTATTCTTCTAAACATTTTTATGTATAGTCAGGGCTGTTCTTTAATAGTCTTAAGGAAAACCTTACCCAACAAACTACAGGAATAATTTAACAGTGTAGAATAATAGGTAATTTGTCATTCACCAGCTTGAACTACATAGTGTGTAAAATAACAAAATGCTACTTTTTAGAAATAAATCAATTATAAAAGGCAAATTATTCAAAGATTAAACAAGGGACTTCAAAATTTTTTCAGAAAAAGGGAATTAAAAGATAATATATAGAAGTTTTTCACGAACTTTTGAACAAACACCAACTTGTGAACAAACACTAAATTTGTGAAGCCCCTTATACAATGACCATTTGCATAGTAATTTAATAATTACAGCAATTTTTGAGTGCCACTTAATTTTTAAAGCACTTTATATGTATTATTTAATTTTATAAGTAGCTATAAAAGATGACCACCTCTTGTCTGTCATTGTGTCAGAATGTGGTGGCTTTTGTGCTACTGTCATGCTGGAAGCTATGCTGCAGGTATTTTAAATACTAGCAGGGTCACCCATCATGGACAAGTTTCACTATAGCTTCCAGACAGACTAGGAAGGAGAGTGGTTAACCACTGAAAACCTTATGAATAGCAGCAGAGTACTGTCAGATATAGTTCTGGAAGATGAGCACCTCAAATTGGAAGTCACTCAAAATATGAATGGGAAAGAGCTGCCTCTTTGATGTAGAGTTGACTTCAAAATCATGAATAGAATTAAGTTTTGGGGACCTTCATTTGCTGATTTGGCACAACTCAAAATGAAAAGAAACAGCTGCAAAGAGCCATTAAGAATCAGTCTGTGCAATGTATGAAGTATGAATCTAGGAAAATTTAAAATTGTCAACTATGAAGTGTAACCAGCAGGAACAATCAAAAATAGAAATGGCAGTCCAATTGACTGCTACAAGAATAAGCAAGTTATTCACCTGGGGAGCCATAAAAGCAAGCGCTCCGGTCCCCTCAGGGCAAACCCCTTCCAAGACTGAAATTCAAGGGGAATACATGAAACAGGCATGTGGTCCTGTTGGTGACCACGTTGGTTTACTAATAAGAGGAAGTGGGGGAAAACCAGCAATGAAGTTGTAAGCTAAGTCCAACCATGTTCAATAGACTCCTGTCAACCTGGATTGAGACCTAGTTGGCTAGCAGTGTAGCGAGACCTGGGAATTCCTGAACATAGCCGCAGAGGACTAGAGCAGAGAGTGAAGCATCTAGCTTATATGAAGTGAGGGAATATGCACAAGAACACCCATACTTGCAAATAGTACCCATTTGACCGGCTTCAATGGATGGATGATCAGAACTCAACTAGAGGAAGAAAGAAGAGGAAAAAAAGAGTAATCCACTACAATTTGATGAAATACAGGTACTGTGGATGTAGAAGCTTGAAAGAGGGAATGAATCTTTACAGCAAGGATCATTTCCACCCCCTCAATACACAGGATTGACAGAGAGATGGGCAACTTAGACATTGACTACCCAAAATGTGGGGGCTATAAAGGCACAAAGTGACTAGCTTACAAGTTAGTCAAGAGGGAGCCTAGTTTCAGAGGATGCTGGGGAAGATACTCTCCACTGAGTGGTTTCCAACTTATCTGGACAGGGCTGGTGAAAGGAGATGGGGATAAGACCCCAAGCAAGATTGACTGGCAGAGTGGCAGCATTAGTGGGCTCAAGCATGGCAACAATTGCGAGGTTGTCCCTGGACCGGGCAGTATTTCATTCTATTGCACATAGGATCACTATGAGTCAGTACCGACTTGATGGCGCCTAACAACAACAACAACAAAAGTACAATGGATTGCCAGAAGAACAAGCAAATCTCTGTGTTAAGAAGTACAGAAAAATACTCCACGGAGGACCCTGGGACCATCAAGGGAGAAGAGTGGAGTGCGGGGCCCTATCCAGAGAAGCAGGGAAGTCAGAGATGGAAGCAGAGACGATGACATGGAGAGATTGAGTGGCTGGGGACTCTGGACTCAGGGAGGGAGAGGGGTTGTGTGCTGACAGTGGTGGGGGTAGGGGTAGGCTTTGCACGGTGTCCCCTTTGGTTCTTTGATGATGCATGGAGGGGATTGTAATCATTGCAATGAAATGAAATACGATAGAATGAATGCAAAGCTAATGTCATACTCAATTCACAACAATTCACAATAAAAACTTTAAAAAAAAAAAAAATGAATTAAGTAAACTTACCAACTCAAATAATTCACAGTGGGAAAAAAAAAAAGCTCCATAAAGCCAGAATGGCAAGATTTCATCGCTCATACTTCAGATATGTAATTAGTGAGGACCAGTGCCTGAAGAGCGTGATGCTTGGAAAAGTGGAAGGTCAGCAGAAAAGAAGATCCCAAGAAGATGGACTGGCACAGTGTTAGCAACAATGGGCTCAAACGTAACAACAGTTGTAAGGATGGCACAGGATTGGGCAGTGTTTCCTTCTGCATAGGGTAGCAATGAGTCAGAAAGACTGTTTCGCACTTTAACAATTACAACAAGAAGTAAAATATGGAGATAATGGGATGAGTTATCCTTATTTTATTTACAGTTACAGAAATTGAGATATCTAATCCTTTAGATACTTATCTATCCTAATCTCTTCTAAAACTAGACAATTCTGTGATTGTTGCTAGTATTTTCTTTGATGGAGTATGTTTATATTTCACATACATCTATTAAGAAATATGCACATTCACATATTGTGCAAATTTCTTGTCAAAATGTACATTAAAGATTAAAGAAAACACTACCATAATATTCAGATTTGTTTTTGTTATTTATTTTATTTTGCAGAAAAGGATATGATTTCCAGGGAAAACAATATGGCAAGCTAAGGAAGTTTACTACTATAAATCCAGAATTTCATAATGAGCCTAAGAGCAAATTGTATCTTAAGCTGAGTAGGAAGGAAAGTGCTTCCGCTTACAGCAAAAGTAAGTTGTTCTGTGTATCTTGGTGACTTATTCTAGCCTTGTGTCTCAATAACACACAGTTTTATAAGTTCTTTATATTATATTGTTCTTGGTGGTGTTAAATGTCGTTGGGTCTGTACCAATTCATAGCAATCCTTTATAGGGTATCTGAGGAGCATCTGGGGGATCTGAACCACCAATCTTGTGATTCAAACCGACTTTGCAGCCCACACCAGGACTCCTTTATATTACATTAAGGGACTCTGTTAACTTAAAGTTTGATAGTATAGATCATAAAGTGAATAAGGAAGAATGAAGAAGAATTGATCCATTTGAATTTTGGTGTTCATGAAGAATATTGACTATCCACCATAGACTGCCAGATGAACAAACAAATCTGTCTTAGAAGAAGTTCAGCCAGAAGATACTTTATCAGGGGACAGTTCCTGGAGAAGAACATCATGGTTTGTTCTTTTCAGCAAAAAAGAGGAAGACCCTTAATGAGGTGACTGACACAGTGGCTGTAAGGATGGGCTCAAACATAGCAGTGACTGAAGATGGCACAGTGGCAGTGTTTCTTCCTGTTGTTCATGGGACCCAGCTGACTGACACTTAGCACCACCAACAACGTATTGTAAATTACTATGTAAAACATTTAGACAGTTGCTAAAAAGCGTATTTTAAGTTTTTAGTTATTTTTAATTTTATTAAAATGACCCCCACATTTTTTGTTGAAAAGACTTTATGTGAAGTTCTTGATATTATCTAAGTAAGTATATTGATTCAACTGTATTCTAATCTAATATTGAAAATAAACTAAAAAATGTGATGAACTATAAATACTTCTTTCATTGTCTACACAATTTGACAACACTGATCCTAAATCTTGTCTACTTGAGGGGGAAAATCCTGTAAAATAGCCTTGTTTTCCAAAAAGCCATTAGGTATACAAAATTAGATTAATAATAATCTTTGATTTCATCACCTGTTCTTACTGTTGGTTCTTACGTAATTTGCTTTTGTTCAGCTGTTTACTTATTTCAAATAGCTATGAATCCACAAATCAAAATGAAATCTAGTACTTTTATAACTACCTACATTTAAACATAGTCTCCTTGTCTCTTTCAATTCAGGATAATTACCATTTTGATCCCTGTGTTCATCAGTGTCATGCTTTCCTTCATAAGGTTTATGTAAGTGAATGCCTCAAGAGCTTATTTTAAATTATTACAAGATTTTGTTAAAAGGATCTCATTCGCATGTAGTCTTTTGAGGTTATCTTTGTAATGTGCGTGCTTTAGGTGCCCTTGAGTTGGTTCCAACTTATAGTGTCCCTACAACAGAACAAACCCCTCTCTAGTCCTACACTATCCTCACAATTGTTATGCTTGATCCCATTCCTGCAGCCTTTGTATCAGTCCATCTCTTTGATGATCTTTGTCTTTTTTTGCTGACCCTCCACTTTACCAAGCATGATTTCCTTCTACAGGATCTGGTCCCTCCTGAGAACATGTCCAAAGTACATGAGATGAAGTCTCACCATTCTTGCTTCTAAGAAGCACTCTGGCTGTACTTTCAAGACAAATTTGTTCTAGTTGTTGTTGTTAAGTACCGTTGAGTCAGTTCCGACTCTTAGTGACCCTGCATAGGGTTTTGGAGGATTGGCTGGTGAGCTTGAACTGCTGACTCTGCTGTTCAAACTGATCTTGAGGTTGAGTGCTAGTCCATGGTATATTCAATATTTTTTGCCAACACCATAATTCACATGTATCAGTTCTTCAGTCTTCCTTAACATCGTCCAACTTACCCATGCATATGAAAATACCATGGTTTGGATCAAATTCACCGTAGTCTTCAAAGTGACATCTTCGCTTTTTAAAATAATTTCCTGCTGATGAACTTTCCCCTTCATATTGCAAGTGAGGTTGCAGTTAGCATCTTTAAAAGTCTTTATCTTATATATGGAGTCCTGCTGTGGCATTGTAGGATAAGCACTAGACTGCAAGGTTGGTTTGAACTACAAGGCCAGTGGTTCAAACCCACCAGTGGCTCCCTGGAAACCCTATACAGGGTCAATATGAGTTGGAACCAACTCAACAGCACTTAACACCAGCAATCAACATCTTATGTCGTTAGGTGCCATCAAGTTGGTACCAAACCATAGTGACTCTATGCTCAACAGAACGAAACATTGTCCCATCCTGGGTCGACCTCACAATCATTGCCATGCCTGAGCACATTGCTGCCACCACTGTGCCAGTCCATCTCTTTGGGGGTCTTCCTCTTTTTACAGGTTTTGATTGTTTCCAATGAGTGGATTGGCACAGTGACATCAAGCATAACAATTGTGAGGTTGGCACAGGACTGGGTAGTATTTCATTCTGTTGTGCATAGGGTCAATATGAAGCAGGATCAACTCGGCCCCTAAAAACAGCAGCTTAATAGTTTGCCTAGAATTATTATTAACTCTTATATGAATGTTTGATAGAACTCTCCAGTGATGCCAACTGGGCTGTGGTTTCTTATTTGTTTGCCATAAGTTTTTTTTATGATGTCTTCAATTTATTCTTTTTCTATGGGTCTGTTAAGGCTTCCTGGAATCCTGGTGTGGTGCTGCTAATTAATGTGCAGGACTGCAATGTTAGTTTGAACTGCAAGGTCACCTGCCATTCTTTGGAAACCCTGTATAGGGTTGCTGTGAGTTGGAACTGACTCATTGGCACTTAATAGCAACAACAATTAAGGTTTTCTGCATCTGTTTGTGTTACTTTAGGGAGGAAGTGAGTTTCTAGGAATCTGCCCATTTTCTAGGTTTTCAAATATATGAGAGGACAGTTTTTTCATAATATTCTCTTATGATATTTTTTATCTTGGTTGTATTGTAGTATCTTCTATTCCATTTCTTATTTTGGTTATTTGCGCCTTCTCTTTTTTTCCTGTCAGTTTGACCAGTACTTTGTCAATTTATTTGATCCTCTCAAAAAACCAACTTTTAGTTTTGTTGATGGTATTGTTTTCCTATTTTATTTATTTTTACTCTGATTTTTATTATTTCCTTTCTTCTTGTGACTGTGGACTTCATTTTTCTGGTCTTTGTTTCTGTTTGCTAGAGTTGTAGGATTAAGCTATTGATTATGGCCCTTGCTTCTTTTTTAATATGTGCATATTTCCTATAAATACTATGTTGTTAGTGCTGTCAAGTCAGATCTAGCTCACAGTGACACAGTATAGAGCTTACGAGGAGCAGCTGATAGGTTTCAACTGACTTTGTGGCTCAAAATCCCATGGTGATCCTACAGTGCTACACCATGAGTCCAGTAAGTCAATTTATTTCCTAAAATAGGTTCCTAAACATACTTCCTAAAACTGGTTCCATGGGGATATTGACAAAAGTTAGTGTTAAAAATATAGGCTCTGTGGCTAAATAAATCTGGAAAGTGCAGTGTTAAATAACTAATCTAAGATTTTTCAGAGTCTTAAATATGCTGCTATACACTGGACTCTCCAAGATACGAATATAAGGAAGCAAACTAACTGTTCTGACATCCTTAAGACATCAGTTTATTTCAAAAGTTGGTTAAAGTCAGGTATTATTAAAAAGAATGTAAATGTTAAGCATCTTATTTTAACTTTAAAAATATAAATACATTTGTATTTACCTTTTGCTGAGGACTTTTTCTTTAAGCCTTGTTCTGATTGTAGAGGCTTTTCATCTTTCTTGTATTAATTACTATGCTCACAAATGCAATGTCCATAAAAATGTCCCATTTTGATACCTTTAACATGGAGCAAGTACTTAGATGCTTGTGAAGCAATTCAAGTGGAACATTAAAAAATTTTTTCAAATCTTTAATATTTATCTTACCAGTACTTGAATCAAATGCAATTTTTAGCAACTATTAATTAAATCTTTTAAATTCTTCAAGTTAGTTTTCCTGAAACAATTTTCTTTTCATACTCATAATAGATGAATGTTGTTGTTGGTGTTATGTGTATTTGAGTTGGTTCCAACTCATAGCAACCCTGTATAGAGTTTCTGAGGAGTAGCTGGTAGGTTTGAACTGCCAATCTTGTGGTTAACAGTCCAGTCCTTATCCTACAGCACCATATCAGGACTCCAATAGATGATTAGATTACATTATTGTAATAAGGGTAGCAATTAATATGAATAAATTGTAGAACAAATATAGTTAACTCTGTAAGTGTAGTTCATACTCAATTGGTGGTAGAAATATTTTTGCCTAAGTAGGTTGGTGGTTCAAGCTTACCAGCTGCTCCTCAGAAACCCTATACCGGGTCGCTGTGGGTTGGAAGCGACTCAATGGCACTTGACAACAACAACAAATTCTGGAAAGTAGGTGATAAGCTATGAATGTTCATTGTGCTGTGGAGAGAGTTAGGCAGATTTTACATTCATTGCTTTCTGCCTTCTCCCTCACTCTTGCCCCTGGTAACCACTGATTACTTACTGTATAATTGCTCATTGCATATAAATGATATCACACAGTATTTATTCTTTTTTGACTGACACACTGTATTTTTACATAAATAACACATGCATTGTGTATGTTTTACATTATCTACTGCCTGTTAAACACGTTGTTTTCGTAAGCACGCTATACCAATATTTTTTACACATTGCTACCTTCATTTTCACGGTTTTTTCACCCTGTCTGGCAGATTTTATGTTAAGTCTTCATCTTGGAACTTGTTGACAAGGCAGTTTGGTTCCCAGCAACAGACCCTCACAAATCAACTCCAGCTTCTAAACTAGCCCCCTCTCTGAGCAGGATTCCTTCCTTACTCTGCAAACTGCTTTCTCTAATGCAGGAAGAAATCACTTTTTCTACTCTGGAAACAGCCCTTACCACTCAACTGGTCCCAACCCAGGAGGTATGTGAATATATATACCCCGGACCAGAAAAGCCACTCAGGCAGTCCAAACTAGCACGGCACGTCAAGGTCAGCACACCACAATCACACACATTCTACATTGCTGTCTCACTGGACAACACTGTGACTCAGCTGTTTGAATCTCCTACCTGCACAAACCCCATGAATGATAGCTGTGGACACATGGGGGACCATGTATCCCTTGCTCAGATGAGATGGGTCTAAGCAGGGCCCTTTGAGGACAGGACAGTGCTGTGTCTGCACCCATACAATCTTGCCATCCAGCGTCACTTGAGGCCAGCACCATGGGACCTGGGTGCATACAGGCAATGCCCCCTTGCTCAGCCTGTGACAACCCCACACACAGTCCTCCATCTAACACTACCCATCTCCAGTGTGACATAACTAGACACAGATTGGTCACAAGGAACTCCACTGCTCTCAGGCCCAGCTGCAACTATTGCAGAGCAAGTGTAGTTTCAGTTGTCTGTCAAAAGGTCAAATGATGAGCAGTTCAAACCTACCAGCCGCTCTTTGGAAAGAAAGCCTATACAGGATCCCTATGAGTTGGAACCGACTAGTCTCTTAAAAGCAAACTCTATCCATACTTTTTAACCATAGCTTACACCTTTATTATACAAATATAATCATAAGTAACATTTTGAATGAGGCCAAAATTCACTCCTGGAAATGTCAGGAGACGTGCACAATGTATATACTATGCCAGAACTCTTTTGCCTAATTTCTTCATTTCCAACTGTTTTATGTATTTGTGAATTATTTACATGGGTGTGTTATTTGTGGTAAAACAAAGTATTCCCTCATCATAATATCCTTGAAAGTACAAAGTGGCTCTATAGAATAAGCACTGGACTGTGAATCACGAGGTCATAGTTTCCAGCCCACCAGCTGCTCCATGAGAGAACGATGAGGCTTTCTGATCTTGTAAAGATTTACAGCCTCAGAAACCACATATAGAGTTCCTTTGAGTTGGAATCAACTCAATGGCACTTAACAGTGCCCTCTAAGTTCACCCATGTTATGGCGTGTATCACGACTTCAATCCTCTATGGCTAATATTCCATTATATGTTTGTTCCAGATTTTGTTTATCTATTCATCAGTTGATGGACATTTTGATCATTTCTATTTTGGGGGGGTCATTGTAAGCAGCAAAGTGTGTATCTGTTTGCCTCACTGCTTTCACATCTTTTGGGTATATGCCTAAGAGTGAAATTAGTGGGTCTGTTGTGCTATAGGGGTCAGGGTCCTACAGGTGTGGTGCTGTAGGATAAACACTGGACTGCTAACCTCAAGGTCAACAGCTCAAATCACCAGTTGCTTTTTTTGTGTGTGTGTGAATTATGTGATAGTTTACATGTGAGAACATTAGTTTTACATTCATTCTATAGTATCGTTTCATTGACATGGTTACAATCCCCTCCATACATCATCAACCAACCAAAGGGTGTACCCTGCAAGCCTGCCCCCCGACATCCCCCTGGTCTTCAGCACACAGTCCCTCTCCCTCTCTGGATCTAAAGTCCCCAGCTGCACCATCGCTCCACGTCATCGTCTCTGCCTCCATCTCAGGCATCACTGCTTCTCTGGGTATGGTCTCCCTCTCCACTCTTCTCCACTGATGGTCCTGGGGACCTAAACCATTAATTGCTTCTTGGAAACTCTATATATGTTGCTATGAGTTGGAACCAACTTGATGTCACTGAACAACAACAACATGGAATCTCAGTGTTCAACTTGCTGAGGAACCACTAAACTGTTTTCCCTGATAGGGATACTAATTTTCAATTCTATCAACAATGGATAAGAGGAGTCCCATGTCTGTACAACTTCACCAATGCCTATTTCTATTTGATCATTGTTGTAATGTGGTGACATGGTATCTCATTGTGGTTTTGATTTGCTTCTCCTTAATGGCAAATGACTTAGAATCTTTGCATGTATTTGTTATTCACTTGAAGAGCCTCTTTGGTGAAATGTCTGTTCAAGTCCATCCATTTTTTGATTGGATTGTTTGTCAGTTGTTTTGGAGAAAAAATGTGGGACTACACAGCTAAAAAATCCAAATATAGCTTTAGATTTACTGTCATTCTGATTCCTTAAAAAAAAAAAAAATGTCTCTTTCAGATGATCTTTGGGTGGTTTCAAAAACCCTAGACTTTGAACTAGATACTTTTATCGCATGCAGTGCTTTCTTTGGCCCATCATCTATCAATGAGGTTGAGCTACTGCCTTTGAAAGGTTATTTCCCTTCTAATTGGCCCACTAACAGTAAGTATTAGCCATGTCCGTATTAATTTATATAAAAAAGAATGATAGACACAAGATGTACTATAACCAAAGATGCTACCTATGTGTAAGATTATTTGATTAAAGCAACAAAAATATGGGTTCTGGAAATGTATATGCAAGTTGAATATATAAATATCTCTGCTGCTCAAGTCCCATCTTCACTTGTTATTTTAAAAGTTGAACTTTACATAGTGTATACTTGATTATTTAAAAATGTAAATATTAAGCATTAAGCATAAAATAAGAATTTTAACAAATAATTTTTAACTTCAAGTTCTGATTCTTTTGGTTTACTTGAATATACATTTGATAAACAAATAATTTACATTGAGAGGGTCTTGTTAATTTTACAAGAGACTTTGTAGAGTGTGATTTTTTTTTTTTTTTAACTTGGAGGGTATTTTAATAATTTTATAGAGAAATTCTTAGTAAGACAGTAGACTAGTAGTTATTTTGTTTTAAATAAAGAAATCTAGTAAACTGAATACCTACTCAGTTCTGTATATTTTGACCTCTGGAATAATTTTTGATGGTGGAATTTGGTTCACAACTAATTGAAAAAACAGTTTTTAATGGCACGTTTCTAGTTTTTCATATACCTTTGCAGCTTTGCTCTTTTCTTTCTTCTAAATAAACAGTCAACAGCATGAGTCCAGTAGGAATCTAATTAAGTGAACATTTGCACTTTTCATATGTCTAAATTATTTCCTCACCAATATTAGATTTTTTTTTTTTTTGCTTTTTATATAGTTCTGTAAAATA